CTCATTGAGAAATTAAATTTGAATTCATAAAGATTAGCGCTTATGCGGCGCTATTGCTTTCGTTATCTCGATGTCGAGCGTGTACCGTGGAAGTATTTGCCGGTAAATGTAGTCGGAAACGTTGGTCTTTCCAACAGATTCTATCCATTGATTACATTCCGCAATTTAAGGATTGCGAGGAGCGCGAGGCGGACCCGACGGCGGCGCGACGAATGCAAATGCACTCGCGTTCCTCAGCGAAACGTGATAAAATTTGCAAGCATCGCTCTCGCCAGAACTTTGCAATTAAATACTAATCAGCATGGCTCGAATCTAATTTCGGTGCGGAAGGATCGAAAAAGACGCGAACGCGCACGATCCGATAGCGATTTCGCAATCATTCAGTGATGCAATTAAAACTTGTAACCCGTAAAGTGCATCGCGGGTCTGCCCCCGCTGATTTTTATTCATATCAAATATCAACCTGTTAATCTTCTTGCGGATAAATTAAAGCGAGTTTCGTACTTGGGCAGAAAAATTCGGACGATAAATTTAAGCTTTCTTTTATTTGACTTTTAGCTTTCAAGGCGGTGCACTTCTTTTTTTCCCCCGTGCGGAGAAAGAGGTAAATCCGATGGCTATTGCCTATCGTTGTTAGATATTCCCCTCGTCTCGTCGTACGTTTTGCGCACGTGCACGCTGATCGAATTATGCTTTTTATCGGGATGAGCGTTTAGCAAATCTATCGATATTTCCGATCGCGAGGTAATCGAGTTTAGCCGGAGACTAATTTTCAGTAGCTGGCCGAGTCAAGAGAGAGAGAGAGGGAGCGCGCTCCCCTGATAGCGATAAAGCAACGCACGCTTTAATTATCGTACTGTCAGATTCGCTGTGCGTCCTACATGGAAATTGTATTAAGCTATTTCATCGAGACCGAGTCATAATACCGCATAATCGAGTTATGTGTCTTTATACAGCGCGCGATACTGTTCGCGATAATTGAAAAACCGCGAGGGCGCGATATTAATCGGCAACGAATTGACGCGTCAACTCGGTCCACGTGAGACACGCGCGCTTCCGTTAATCGCGACGCGACTTCGCCTCTGAATTTTATCTCGTTTTCTTATCTCTCGAACGAAACGCCTGGGCGACGCGGAAGATCGACTCGCGCGCGTTCTCTCGCGACTTGGAGGCCGTGCGGCGGCCAGCGGTTTCTGCAACGAGCGGTTTCTGGACCTCGTCGATGCAACGTCGATCTCGGGCGGTTTAATCCGACACGCCGCGACGGTGAACGGGAGCGGGGTAGGAGAGGAGAGGAGAAAGAGTGCTCGTCGCCGACGAGATTCCGCAAATTATACTGTTTAAGGAACGAGGGCGCGACCGGACCTTGCGCAACGAATACAAATGCAGAGCCAGCCGGCAGCGCGTCCCTTCGGCGCGCGTGACGAAATTCGTAAAGGAGCTCTCGAAGCCAGCAGCCTCCATCATCCCCCTTCCCCGAAGGGTATACTCGCGGGGGATTTCGCCGACACGCGGGAGAGGAGGAGAGAACCGCTTTGGCGACAACGTGATAATATTTCTGAACTTGGTGCGGAGGAGAGGGGAGGGGAGGGTGAGAGAGGCTCGCGCTCTCGCTCGTGGAGGAAAAAATTCGTCGGCCGTATCTCCCGAAAGAGAGACCGAGAGCCGCCGGTCTACACCGAAACTGGTTTCGTAAGTGCCGCTTCGGCAATAAAAAGAGACGGGAAGGGAGAAAACGAGGGAGACAGAGAGAAAGAGGCACGTAACGCGACCGCATTCACGACGAGCGCATTTACATGTTACGTAAAATTTCGTTGGGACCCGCGATACACGACACGCCGCAACGACCGGCGATCTCTCTCTCTCTTTCTCTCTGTGTCTCTCTCTCTCGCGAGCGCGTTGCTCGCCTCTCGGCCCATTCGCATCTCAATGAAAGTCCAGATGACTTTTGCCGAGGGAGATCTCTGTGTAGCGTTCACCTCGCGAGCTTTTGAATATGTACGAATTTAGAACAGGGCAGATAAACAGATTTAATCAAAACTTGAACGGCGCGACGACGTAAGACGCGTGACACAATCGATAATAATACTTCTTTCGGTGAGATTCATTCAGAGATGGCAGAAGAGAATATCCATTTATATTTGTACGGAATTTGTTGAGCAAGTTGGCAGAGTTGCGACGAGCCAAGAGTCATCGCCTGAGGAAGGATTAAAATCACAAAAGGCTCGAATAGTGTTTTAAAACAGATTTATTTGCAGTCGTTTGTTAGATGCGCCTATTGCTATCAATACACTCTCGTTATCCATCGATCGCACGTCGTTTAAAGACGTAAATCTCTTTATAGCGACTTCGCGATCACGCGTTCAAACTTGCGTTAATTTAGAGATAGCCTGTGTAACGCATTCGCGCTAAGCATTATCGAAACGTGTGTGTCTCTCTCTTTGTTTTTAGATATCATAGAGACACGGGTACTAGGACGGTGAAAATGTAAAACGTCCGATTTATCATACGTTCGATAGCTTGTTTTAATGTATCGCACCGACGGAAACGTTGCAAATACTGGCGGACGAAAAAACAAAAAAGGCGGAGCTTTTACTCCAATTTTCAAGGATGATAGATCGTCCCCCGTATTTCAAAATTGGAGCGGAACGAACGTACGCTCTCGACTCGCCGGTTATCGCGCTCCTTCCTTTTTATCCGCGCGGCGTTACCGCGCCGCGGCGTTATTTCTGTCTTCGCGACTGACTCATCGACGTCTCGGAAAGAAATGACCCTTGGACGCGATACCGTCGGCTTTGCATGCTTATCAGTCCGCGCGGCGCAAAGGCGACGCTATCGGGGAAAGAACGTTCCCGCAGAGTCATAGGCCGGTCTCAAGTTCGTCGGCGGAACCTTTTATTCGCGCCTTCGACGCCGTTTATTCCGGATATGTCGTAAATCAGATTTTAAGACTTATCGAATTTGCATAATACACGGTTCAGGATGCTCTTGAACAGGATTCAGGCGTCTTGCCGCTCGCCGAGTTAAACGGCTAGCGTGTCGGTTGTCCCAGCGAGTCTGTTAAGACTCGGGAATATGTTATTCGCGTGAATTCAAGCAGATAATTTGAGGCGATATGCCTGGGCCTTGATTAGGAATTCTTATCTTAATATTCTCGGGGAGTATCTCTCCTGTAGCCTATGAAAAAGAAATTGGCCGTTTAAAATTCAGCGTTTCGTGTCATAACAGGAATAATAATGCGATAAAACCGACGAGTAACAGTAACCAGTGCGATGACATTCGATCCTCGCACGGTTTTCTGTTTTTCTTGCCGTTTATAACCGTTCGCACGACTTCTTCTACTTAAAGCCACTTGAGGCCACCATTTATAAAGTCTGGCAAGTTCCTCCCGCAGCACATCGTGTGAATCTACCGCGTGCTCTCTCTCTCTCTCTCTTCTTATCCCATTCATAAGGCAAGAGATATTGAAAAAGAAACGGCAAGAACAATTTCGCTTTCGGAGATTCTCTCTCTCTCTCTCTCGCTCTCGCTGGGAAGAATTCACCTGCTGATCTAAGTCGCCATTTGTATTGTCCGCGTATATTGCGGGAACATGTGGCTCATAAAATCGTATCGCGTCCAGCCGTTTCCATTCGAAGATATTTCTGTGCGCGCACGCGGATGCGGATAAAAACAAATATGAATGGCAGCGATACCGGCGGCAACGTTATACGCCAACCGACCGCGTCGTTTAAAAGGTTAATGTCGATATCCCGGCGAACGTAAATAAACATTTTTGCGGCACGGCGACACTCCGCGGGCCGATCATTCCGACGAATCGAAGAAGGAAAAAAGGGGCGTGAGGTCGCGAGAGGGAAAGACGATCGTCGCGGAATCGCTTTAGCGCGTCCTCTCTTCGAGTAGACGCACTCCTCTTACTACTCGTTTAAAATTGTTTAATTAAAGACATCCAGGAAGTAGCTTGGTCCGAGTTCGACGGTAATAAGAAACTGCATCCGTACGAGAGATAGCATCGCCCTTCGTCGCTTTATTATCCTCTCATCTAATCACTCGGCGACAAGAATCTTGCCTAGAAATGCAGCGCGAAAGGGGCGCACTAAATTATACCGTCAGGTGGAGTTAACGCGAAGGTTCGTGTGTAAGAAGCTGTCAAGGTCGCTTCTTCGAACGGATGGGTTTTACGGGTTTTAGTGTTCGGCAAATAACATTTGCCGCTTAGTTTGGTATACGAATATGGTTTGCCGTTTAGTGGCTGGTGTATTGATGCAAAAGCCAGACGTGTTTGGACAGCATCTACCCGGTGGAAAAAGCGAAATGGGTTTACCGGTTATATGTTGTTTTGACCGCAAAAACCGCCTGGTTTCTACAACAATTGAAGCAACTGGTCGCAAAATCGCCTTCATTATTCAGCTTCCCGGCGAAAAAAGCGAAACGCCGAAGACCCATTCGGCATTTTCAGTTTTCCGGCTCTTCAATTCTGCGATCTGCGGCTCAAGGTAAACGACTCGTGAGGCCGCAGTGTCCAAATTTCGTTACTCGTCCCCGAGAATACGAGTTGAATTCTCTCGTATCGAGCGACACGCAGTAACGTGAACCAATTAATTAATCTCGAGTGCATTCGCGCACTTGCGAGCGCATGTTGTGACTCGCGTAAACATCCAGTGTCCGGTAATCTTGCAAGAGCCTATTCGAAAAGCCCCCGGCAAATTTCTAAGATGCGTAGGGAACAAAGAGCCTAAGAGCAACTTGGCGCGCCGAGCTGTATTTTATGTAGCGACGCGAGAGGAGATCCTACAGCTTCGCTCTTTACGACAAGTCCTGGACGGTTCTCGTTCGTGAAGTTAACAACTTGGACGCAGGCAGGTATACCGTGGCCGTCTCTCGCGCGCGCGCTCGCCAAAGCGGGCTTCACTCGGCTCGAAGGTCGAACACTTTCGAGCGTCGAGCGCGGGTCGCCGGCATCAGTGCTCGAAAAGAACGGCAGAGAGGCGGATACTTACATCTTGTAGTGGTGCTGCATGTGGTGGTTGACTAGGTGCATGTCGGTGGCGTGCTGCTGCTGCTGCTGCTGCATCTGCTGGTGCTGCTGCTGCTGCTGCTGTTGCTGCGGCTGCGGCTGGTGCATACCCTGATGATGGTGAGTCTGCGGGGGGTCCAGGCTGGACGCACCCAGCAGGGTAGCGCTCTCCCTGAACAACGTTGCCACCTGCATCTTGGCTGCGTCGTTCGCGTCGTCGGTTTCACCGGAAGCGATTCGCCGTCGGCCGGCGTCGCGACGTCGCTCGCGTTACTCCGTACTCCGGATCTCGGCGTCGCCGTGGGCGGCTCCTTCTCCCTTGTCGTCGAGAACGAAGGCAGTTCGTTCTAGGCTAGGAACGGGGCCCCGGGGGTAATCCCCACCGCAACGTGAAACGCGGTTCCTCCGTGACGACGAGAGCCCGCCGTACGTTCCACGCCACGGCCCGGGATCGATACCGGCTTCGAGATCCCTCGAAGGCGATTATTAGGATCGCGGGTGGTTCCGAGAAAGGTCCTCCGGATCGCGTGATCGCGGTACGGTCGCGGTTACGCGACCGCCCTCGCCCGACGACCTCTTCTCGCTGCGGCTATCGGTGGATAGTCACAGGACGCGTTATCCAGTCTTTAGCGACAGCGACTCAAGAATGACATTCGTCGGTTACTCCGACACGACCAAAAAACCCTGGCCAATTTCCGTCGACGACGACGACGACTCGCCGAATGCGCCGTCGGCACTCGTCGAGCGCGGTTTTCCGCGTTTCTCGCACCCGGATCCGGCGATGCCACCTGATTAACGATCGCGGCACACACCGCGGCCGGCAGCACGACGACGCTCGTCGATGCCACCGTTGCGGCGACGGAACCGACGTCGATCACGACGCGGCGTACCGTGCGCGAGAATCCGCTCCGCTCCGCTCGGTCAGGCCCGGAGTAGTCGAGAGCCTCAGTCGAGGCCTCGCCAAGTTGTCGTCATCGTTGCCGTCGTCGTGACGACCGTCGGCGACGTTACCAGCATCCTCTCCGCGAGGGCCGCGGTCGCCAGCCGGAAGTCACCAAAGTCTCTGTGCTCTCCTCTCCTTCCTCTATTCTCCAAGAGGAGGGGGGAGGGGCCCGTGAGCGCTCACGGCCTGGGTCCTCTCGCACGCACGCACTCGGCGGAGAGGAGAGGCGCGGGCGCGCTCTCGCGCGCGCAACACGCGAGCCGCGCTCACTGGGATCACTGGCCGCGCGCGGATGGTACTCGGTTTGGGAGCTTTCTTTACTCCGAGGAGTTTCTCTCTTTCTCTCTCTCTCTCTCTCTCTTTCTCTCTCCTTATTTTTCTCCCTTCTCTCCTCCGCCCTGCTCCCTGCCTCCGCACTACGTTTATATTATCGTCCCTTCGCCCGCGACGCGATGCCGCCTCGAATTCGCGCAACACTCCGCGTCGTCCGTCATGTTCTCGCCGCGGCCGTCGCGCGCACCTTTTGAATTACGCGCACCGCCCGCCGTCTCGCCGCACCACCATCGGACTCGATACGGTGCGGCGCGGTGCGGTGCACCCACGCCCCGTTAAAGGCAACCCGTGCGAGGGTGGTTATCGCTCTCGCGCTTCTCTCGCGGCGTGTGCGTGCCGGTCACGTCGCGCGCGAGACGCGACGACGACGCTGCGCCTTGCCGACGTTGCTTGGGTCGCACGCGTCTCGTCTCTCTCTCTCTCTCTCTCTCTCTC